GCAGAAACTCATTAGCATATTAGGCCACACCCCTGACAGCACAGCTCATTGGCATATTAGGCCACACCCCCATGTTACCAGAAGTGTGCTCATCTAGCCACACCCACCTTTTGCTTCTTATTCTGTTTACCTTGTTTGTTGTCAAAACCCAGGGCTTTTTTGTAGCAGGAACTCCTTTGCATGTTAGGCCACACACCCCTAATGTGGCCAATCCTAATGAGTTTCTGATGTTGGGTGTGGCCTATTATGCTAATGAGTTCCTGCTGGGCGTGGCCAACTTGGGAGCCAGCCGGAACTCCGTTCCTGTGCGTTCCTGCCCCAAAATAGCCCTGAGTAACGCTACTTCTTTCAGGAATGGCATGGCTAGTAGAAAAGAGCAAGAGTCCAGTAGCACCTTAAAGACTAGCAAAGTTTGTGGCAGGCTATGAATTTTCATGATTCACTGCTCGCTTCTTCAGATACTTCTTCAGAAAGCTCATACCCTGCCTCAAGTTTTGTTAGCTTTTAAGGTCCACTGGACTCCTACTCTTTTCTACTACTATAGACAGATGTACTGGATTCTTGTTCTTTTCTACGGCTACAGACAGACTAATGCAGCTACTCATCTTGATCTACCCACGTTTCTAGTGTTCTCTATATTTCAGCAATAAAAGACCCAAGGGAAGGTCAAGGGTTGGTGTTTTGGAGTCCTCAGTGAAAGCTATAACCCACATGCTTGTCTACTCATGTTTACAAGAAAAATGTTGCCCCACCTTGAATCTAGACTCAGCAGTGCACTGGTCGTTGACTGTAACAATAAATTTGATTGATTCAGAGTTCAAAAGTACTGTTCTGTATTTGTAACAAATTCTTAATATGTGAAGCAGTATAAAAGATGCATGTAGTTAACAATAGCCTGACTGCTGAAAAAACGTGGAATTTTCTGAAGGAAGCTTGCATTAGAAGAACATCTTCCAACAAATATATTACTCAAAAATAACTAACTTGCTGTAACTAAGGGATATGAGAGTATTTGTGATTTGGATATTTTTTTAAAAGCACCTCTCCTTGTCTGGAAGAAAATGGAACACTCTGGTCCCATCCTGCTAAGAAATATAGAAATTTCGGATGCAGTGGCTCAAATTTAATTTTAAATTGTTATTTTTCTAATAGCATTAGTATCAACCATCTGTTAGCACCTTTTAATGTTTAAATTGTTTTATATTCTTTTAGGATTATTGATATTAGTGTTGTTTTTATTCTTCTGTAAGCTGCCCTGAGCTGGCGTTGGCTGGGAGGGTAGAGTATAAATTTAGCAATAAATAAATAAAAAATATTCTGTATCTGAGTACTGTTTGAAAAAATATATAGTCCTTGGGCTCATTACTCCCCTGAAAGTGTGGAATATTTGGTGTCCTGTTTAATCTCTTGGCCTACATAATTACTGTACTTTTCTTCAGAAAATATTTATAGTACATGGATATTTTGAACTTGTATTCTACTTTTACTGTCCTCTGAACAAACCCCAAGACCATTGGTATATCTTTATTCTGCACTGTAAACCTAATGGAAATTATGGACCATCCATTAAAGTAACTGATTAGTAACTGATTATCCATGGATATATGCTACATACACAGCTCAGCCGTCGTTACTTTAGCGTTGTTAATGTAGTTGAATTATACCCTTTTTTTAAAAAAAAAGCCTTTAAGGGTACAAATGAATAGTTTTTCACTGTTTTTAAAAATTATTTCTTAAATTAGGTCTGTTTGTGATTATGGTTGTTGTACTGCTGTTATGTTGTGTGGCATGTTTACATCAGTTAACCTGCCCTGTGGAGCCTCTTGACCAAAAAGCAGCATACAGATATTTGAAATCTCTCCTTATACATAATTGTAATTTAGTCTGGCAACATTCCATGTGTTCCCATTGGCTGTAAAATGCCCTTCCTCAGCCATTGGCCCATCAGCCGCCACTCAAGAGTACTCGCGTGCCATTGGCCGGATGCTGGGTTTGCTGTTCTTCCCCGCACACTCCTTCAGCCCCTGGGCCCTCTCAGAATTTCTGGCAGACAGCTTTCTCTCTTGACGAAGACAGTTGCCTCCTGTGTGAGACTAACTTTTCCCCTCAGTAGCTGTTGGTAGGTGTAACGAAATGGCAGTTATCTGTACCTGTGAGATGACTGCCGTCTGTGTGTTTAAAATGTTCCCCCAGAAGACTTAATTGAGCTGTAGTTCCAGAGAGGGGCCTTCCTCACCTGCTGGCCTACACTTCCCAGCTGCACCAAAAAGTGCGGGAAAAGAGGGACCTTGGGGCGGGGCAGCATCAATATAGACTCCAGCTAGGCCACAAGCCAGAGATGTGGGGAAACCCTGGAGGCAGCAGAAATTCAGCCACTCCACAGCAGTATTCCCTCTAAGCTGAGTTACTGTGAGCTAGCTCACAGTATTTTAGACTCCAGCTCACAGGTTTTTGTCTTAGCTCAGGAAGGAGGGCTCCAGAGCAAACTGATTTATGTAGCAGCCAAATCACTCGCTCACAGCTTTAATGCCAGCAGCTCACAAAGTAGAATTTTAGCTCGCAAGACTCCAAAGCTGAGAGGGAGCATTTCTCCATAGTCAGCTGGACTGGGGAATGAATGGAAGCTTCCCTGCTCTCTGGGGCAAGAGACAAAGAGACTGAAGCAGAGCCAGTCCAAGGAGAGATCCTATCCTGAGCCCACAAACTCCAGAGATAGAGGGTTGTGTGTAGGGA